GATTTTTTCCACAGTGACATTTTTATTTCAAACAATACAGTCAAAATGTTTGGATAAAATTTATTTATTTTTAATTTTTGTCGTTTAATATGGTTTTTGACTGTGCTCGGGCACACATTTTTCTTAGAAGCGATAACGATTTTATCGTACACTACACCTACGACATYACCACCACAGATACGTGTGTACACCATACGGGCTTTTATTCGATTAGGATTAAAATTAGGACAGAAAAAAATTTTAAGTGCATATTTTAATTGCACATTATGGGTTTTTTTAGAGCATAAGCGCTTACATATTTAAAGGTTTTTTAGAGCTACGATTCCTCTGCCTTAATTATATATTACATGTATAATGTCATATAATAACCATATCTAATAAAAAAATTTTAAACTTTAAAGGTATCGTATGATTTCTATCCCTGTTATTAAAATATATTATAACATTTTTATTTGTCTTCAAAATATATTTAATTTAATAATTAGAACGAAATATTTATATCTATTTATAACGCTACGTCGCGCGTCAACATGCCGGCCGTCTCAGTGCTGAAAGCTGAAACCTGTTTAACCCCGGCACCGCACTCGGCCATATAACAGTGGCTAAAAATGAAATACGAATTTATTAAATGTTTCTAGTTCTTATCGCCATCTACCGAGAGTTTTATTGTAGACCATCGAAAAACCGCCCAGTGAGCAATCTATAGTATTTATAATCAATGCTAGTAATACCTAAAATGCTCCTAACCTAACCTACCCATTAAATGTTTAATATTTAGCGAATTTTGAATTTCAAACACATTATCTCTGAAAATAATGTCATTTTTTTTTTGTACTGGTGTGCTTCGACAATATAGTACAAATTAATWGAGTCAATAAAGACTAATGTTTTGACAGTTTGRATGGTCTCTATGTTGGACTTACTGATACAACCTTATACCTGGTTTTCCCTCTTCATCAGATATATCTACTAGTGGGCAAACAAAGTGCACATATTATTTAAATCTCATTCTATTAATGGAAGTTTCTATTTTCTGATATACCGAGTGTCYTGTGATGTACCCATTACCGTAGAGGGATACTCGTCGCCCGGATAAATACCAGTTTTTTGCCGCTTTATCTATTTTCAGCAAAATAAACTCTATAAAATAGGTATCTTAATTTTTTTCAAAAATAAAAAAATGACTTTTTAACTTTCTTACCGAAAAATTTAAGTTAATTAAAAAAATTAAATACCTGTAACTCTTGTCTAAGTGAGTCTAATAAAAAAAAAAAACAGATTTATGGTATATTTGTTATCTCAGGAGATATCGCAATGGGTAAATCTTCACGGGACACCCTATATACATATAAATATATGTATTTTTTCAAGTATTACCTTCCTATGTCCTATATATATATATATATCAAGTAAGCCAACTGGCCAAGTGATTTAAAACCGAAAATTTCATCTTATAATAACATTAATAACTATATCTAGCCATCTAGGTATCCTATATAATATTAATATATTATATGAGAAATGAGAATAATATACAAGATTATACATATTATATAAAATACTATACATTATGTATATGAACCTATAGTTGTTAATATATGTAATTTTTAGTTAAAAATCACTTGGCCTACTTGAAATATTTAATAGGTCCGGGCATTTTTGAAGTATGTACCTACCTATTTTGTGTTCAAATAGACACTCACTCAGTCACTCTAGACTCATTAGACTCCCAGTAATGAAATAATTCACTCACTTTCCTGACGATCTGCATCCAAACGATCCAAAAACAATAATGAAAACATTAATTATTTATTACCGATTCTATAGTATTTGTTATACAAGATATCATTCAGGGGCGTTTTTATGGGGGTGGCTGAGGGGGCTTCAGATGTAAATTTTCTAACTCATATAGGCTGAATTGGAAATTT